CATGAGACTGATAGGTTCATGCACCTACCATTTGAACAGAATCCTGACCTATTTCCTGGCTTTAAGCAAAGTTCCTTGGCGTTTCTTTAAGTTAAAACTGGTTTTCTTAGTAGTAATGAGTGAACTCACCATTGAAAGTAGTTAGATTATGTAAGAAATTGTGTGATCAATACAATGTGGGTGGGAAAGGAATGGAAGACAATTGTAAACACCAGAGATAGTGTGAGAAGAGGGTGGGAAAGGACAGAGGTCTCAGAAAGAGGGGTAAAAATAATTCTAGGAACTAGAAATGGAAAATTTTTTATAATATGCATGATTAAGTCACTATGCAGTATATACTCGATGGGAAATCACATAAATAAAAAAGTTCCAGGAAAAAAAATCTATTCAATGACTACAGTAAGATATATAGCACCAGCTAGGTGCTACTTTATAGGATGCGTAAAGTTAGACTTGAGTTCATGGAAATATATATATCACCTGTGTTTGCTATGAAAATATTTAGATTAATTAAAGTCTTTAGTAATTCAATAAAATGTGGTGTGGGGGGGAAACAGTATAGAAAGCAAACATAGATACCAGAGACAGTGTGGGAGGAGAGTGGGAGATGGCAGAGGGTAAGAGATAGGGAATCAAGATGATGGGGGGGGAGCAAAACATACAGAAAACAAGAAATGGAAGATTATTTGCTGACAAAAACATGTTTGTTGATCTGCTTAATTGAGACAATATACAGTGTACTCTGGATGGAAAATCTCACTTTGTATGCTGTAATGATGTACAGTGAATGAACGTAAATAAATAAATTGAAAAAAAAGATAGAGTAAGTATATTTTTACTGTATTCTCTCCAAGAATTAAAAAAAAGACAAAATTCATAAAGTAGTTAGCAGAAGATAGGTAGAGAAAAAGAAGATAGACTGGCTAGGGTTAGTAAGACTCAAGGAACAAACCAGACAGAAGACTGAGAAAAGGGTAATCCAACAAAATATAAATATTTTGACTGTACCAGACCTACTCAGGGAAATGTGACAAAAAAGCTACGCCACTCATTTTTACCACCTGGAACTGTGGCTTGGAGACTGTGGGCTGAACCTTGTCTTCCATTCCTGCCCTGAAATAATAGGTGGTACTGTTGTCTCTTCCGCCTAACCACATAGTGAGAGGGAAGATTATCATGATTAAAAAACAAGAAATAAAAACACAAAACACACACACATACACACACAAAGCAGCTTAAATATGTAGCATAAAATTCATCATTTTAACCATTTTTATACAGTTTATTTATTTTTTGCTACACGGCGCGTGTGCTTGCCAGACAGACAGAGAGAGACAGAGAGATAGAAAGCGAGAAATCACCCCCCAGGGGGGATGGCCACGCCGCAATCCCTTCTCCTCCATTCTCCCCTCGAGATCTTGGGCACGCATGCACATGCGCCCGGCGTGAGTTTAAGCCACCGGGTCTGGGACGCGAACCGCAGTTGACTACATGGGAGTCCAGCGACATAGCCATTACGCTAACTGCTGGTCCCTTAACCATTTTTAGATGTACACTTCATTGGCATTAATTGTATTCACACTGTTTTGCTACCATCACCTTCATATCTTTTTCTCAAACTATTAATAAAACTCTGTACTCACTAAAGTAATAACTCCTTGATGTCTCCTCCTTCAAGTCCCTGACAACTGCCGTTCTGTTTTCTGTCTGTGTGAATGTGACTATTCCAGTTACCTCGTGTAAGTGACATTATATAATCGTTGGCTCTTTGTGTTTGGCTCGTTTTACTTAGCATGTTTTAAGGGTTCATAATAATGGAGTATGTGTCATAATTTCTTCTTGT